TCCTGCTCCTCTGATGCTGTTTGGCCCGCTGTGTTCATCCAGCTCTATACCTTGTTATATCAGATTCTCCAACATCTGCAGTTCTACTATCTCTAAAAGAAAGAAAGCTTAGAATAACTGAACTCTATTAGAAAACTTAATAGAATAATAGATACAGTAACTATTACTAATTAACTGTTCCAATATAGTAACACCCATAAACACACCCCCTGGCAAAAAGGCAAATTCAGAAAAATAGATTTGTCTCACAGGTAACTCAGCAGCAGAGAGGAACTCCAGTTTCTAGCTGTAACTAAGCGAGGGAAAAATAGCTTCTACTTCTTAAAAATTTCAGCAGCTTCTTCTGTGTTAAAACTCCAACAGCAACTGCTTAAAGCAAACCTAAACACTTTAAAAAACTAGAAATTCTGGTTTGTGAGAGCTGGCCACACCCATCAGGCTGCTTCTATTGTTCCAACTTTAAATAAAACCCATGGCCTCACAAGCTGTTTACTTTATGGGATATTTCAAGTTGACAGCTCAGTACCTCTGACTTAAAATTTCTTTAAAAAAAAAGCTCAAAATGCAAAATAACCTCTTAAAACCACAGCATTGTCACAGGTAACATGGGATTTTGCTGCCCATAAGGCCCCATCACCAAGATTAAATTCTGCCCATCAGTATTTAAAGAAAAATGTGTTTTGTGATATGGGAAACAATGGAACGTATTTATTTTCCATCCCTAATTGGCCTGACACGTTAAGTGAAGTGTGCAATGATATATTGGAGGTCATGCGCAGTTTGGACTCCCATTGTTCAATGAGGCACATTGGTGGAGGATTGTTATTTTACAGAAGGCTTCATGGTGACTTCCTGCTGCTAGCCTACAAATTGTCAGAGTTTGATAACTAAGTTTCAAAACTGAACTCTTAACTCATCGATTCTTGAGTTCATATTTCAGTGCCATATAATGTATCCTTGTATCATAGCAATACTGTTGAAAAATAACATGGAAATAGAATACTTAGCTATAAAGTATTTGAGCACTTTATCTAACCAATCTGGTATTTAACAAATATTGAGAAAAATGATGTGAATGCTGAAAATGGTAACTATATTCAGTATTGGATGATTAACATTTCAGGAGCAAAGCAGTACAGGTATCGATGGACTAGTTGTTATGTGCAATATTTCCGGTTCTTATTCTTGCTTGTTTTGATCTAATGAAGCTACATTGAGCAGTAAACATACCAATCTCACCAGCTGCACTACCAAGTTGCAGTGTAAGTATTGATTTTCATTTCTCCGCTTCTAGGTGTTGATGGTTTCCCAGGTCCATCTGGTCACCCTGGAATAGATGGAAGGCCTGGTGCTCCTGGGCCCAAAGGAATCCATGGTGATCTGGGAACTCCAGGTTTCCCAGGTACTGACTTTAAAAGAACAGCCAGGAGCTGCTGGTAATGGGTATGTTAGATGGAGTTCAGTGTGGCAGGCAGGGAAAGAGATCAGAAGATGGAATTAGTTGGAGATCCAAAGGAGTTTATAGTACATCTGCCCCTCATCTTTCCGTAAGTGTTAAATGAGACAATCTTTTGGAAACTAGTGAGATTGCTCTTTTTATGAGGATGTCACTGGCAAGGACAGAATCTGTTGTCTTGAGCAAGTGGTGGTGAGCTGTCTCCCTGAATCACTGCAGCCCATGTGATGTAAATCCCCCCACTCTGCTGTGAGGAAGAGAATTCCATGATCTTGACCAAGCTAATGTGCAAGTAGGAAGCACAATTCCTTGGAATTCAACAAATAGTTATTTTTCTTAATGTTGTTTATGTGATATACAGGGCTAAACGGGTCGATAGCATTGGACGTGTGATTATTTCATAAGCATAAAGCTTGAGTTAAAGGTGAATTCAGATTGGTTATGTGATCAGTTTGTGCCATACTGATTCCACTGATTAATCCCATTAGGATACCAAGGACCTCCCGGAGATCCAGGAAATCCAGGACCAGTAGGGTTGCCTGGTATCCAAGGACAACCAGGATCTGTGAGACCTCCTGGCCCACCTGGTCCCAAAGGTAAATACTGAAGATACAGCTCAACCCAGGGGCCTCTAATAGTGACAATTTCATTCATGGCTATTTGGGAGACAGGGGAGGGGGTAAGGATCTGAAAGGTTAGTGTTCAAAGCAAAACAAACTGAGGAGCTTCACAGAAATTTCTACACTAGTCATTTCCTACAGCCTATTTCAGAAGATCAGAGCAACGTAAAAGTACCATTTCTGTTATTCTGTGTCTGGTCTCTCAGTTGGAGTCTCCATTTGTTTTTGCTTCAAATAGACTGAACTACGTAAAGTCAATGGTATCAAGTTACAGCCAAGCATTTCTCCCTCTCCATTCAGTTTGAAACAGAGAAATATGGGCGTTTAAACTAGAGTTATAAACATAAATTAATGCAATTAAAAGGGTTTGAAGATAGTGTTGGCAAAAATTGACTGGGAAAGTAGATTAGAAAATAAGCTGATAGAAAGGCAAAGGCAGACATTTGAGGAGATATTTCATAACTCTCAATAGAGAGTGAAAGTCCCTGTAAGAAATTGTACCATCTGTGGCTAACTAAGAAAGTAAAGGATGGTATCAAATTGAAAGAATAGGTGTACAATGCTGCAAAGATTAGTCATAGCCCAGAAGATTGGTGGCATTTTAGAAACCAGGAAAGGATACTTTAAAAACAAACAATTGCATTACATCAATAAAATCTGTAATATCAGTAATATCAGCAAAAGCAAACAAGAATTGTAAAAACAGTGAAAGCTTCTATAAATATCTAAAAAGGAACAGAGTATCTAAAGTGGGCATTAGTCCCTTCATGAGTGAGATCAGATAATTAATAATGTGGAAATAAAGGAGTAAGGGTTTGAACAAATATTTTGTATTAGTAGTAGCAATGTAAGACACATCAAAAATCCCAAGAATATTAGAGAGTGAAGAGTCAAAAGGAAGAGAGGAACTGAAAGAAATTGCTATCAGTCAAGAAAAATAACTGGGAAAATAATGGGATGAAAGATTGACAAATCCCTGGGACCCGATGGCCTGTGTCCCAAACTCCGAAAGGAAGGGACAGCTGAGATAGTAGATGATTGGACCTAATCTTTTCAAATTCCTAGATTCTGGAAAGATCACAGTAGATTGGAAAAGTAGAAATGTCATACCTCTATTCAAGAAAGGAGGGATACAGAATGCAGGAAACAGTGGGTGAAATTCTTCTAGCCCCTGAATGACCTGTGTAATGGTGAGTCAGCTGTGAAAATATGGCGAGATTGAAAAGTTAGTTCAACCCAAGGTTTGGACAATAAGATGGGAATCTTGCTAGTGAGCAGTGAGAAACTACTCGTATCTATTTACATCGTATTAGTACCTGTTCTTTCCCAATTGATACATGGTTTGCTATTCTGTCAGGCGGCAGAGAGAAACTAGACATTGACGGTATAGGAGCAAATTACTGCAGGGGAGATCATAGCGGGTTAGACCGTATCCATGGAGCTTTGATGAAGAGTCATCTAGACTCGAAAAGTTAGCTTGCTCCCTCTCCATGCATGCTGCCTGACCCACTGTGATCTCCAGCATCTGTTGTTTTCAGTAGATGTTGATGGTTCCCAACATGAACGGTTACCTGTGACTCCAGCTCAGTGCTTTCATTGTGGACATTATTCTCCAGCTTCTCAGGCCACACTCCCATGGTGGCAATTGTCTGTACCAACCTTGAAGGTTGGCATCTGTCACATACCAGCCTCAACACATCATTGAGCCACATCTCTCACTCACTCAGAACACAGCTCTCCGGTTCAACACTGCACTTTGGCTCACACTGACACCTTACATTGTAATGCTGCCAGCCTGCTTTATGCTCAGGGCCAGGCACCATCTCATGGGTTGGTGCATGAGCAGGGTACATTTCACTGGTCTTCACCTGCTGTCCCAATGTCCACTCACTTTGTACCTTTTCAGATGCACACGGCAGCTCTGCCTTGCCTTGTCATTTTGCTTGCTGCAGCATGGTTCAGAACCTGCAGGCTCCCAGCACTGTTGTTAGAGCAGACACAAAGCCAGGTAGCTCACTGTGTTAGCCAACAGTGACCGGTCAAGGGGGCAGTTGGCAAGCAGACCCGGACTGCTCCTGCGAGAATGCTGAGACACACATGTCCCACCAACCAAGTAGGTCACACAAAATAAAAACCGAAAGAACTGTGGATACTGTAAATCAGGAACAAAAACAGAAGTTGCCGGAAAAGCTCAGCAGGTCTGGCAGCATCTGTGAAGACAAAAACAGAGTTAACATTTCAGGGGACCCTTCTGCAGATCTGGAGAACTGAAGAACTGCAGAACTGAGGAGTAGGTCACACTCTTCATTCCACTGTAACTGTCACAGTGACCCCGCAGTCAGTACACACAACCGTGACACCTTTTGCTGTGATGTACAGATACCACCAGCGTCTCCACCACTTCTGCAGTGAAACTGCCAACTCTCCCAGAAGCCAGTTCCTCAACTTCTGAGGATGAGGGTTCTGGGGCCTGGAGAAACATCGGCAAGGATACCTCCTGCAACCCTCCCCGGCCCACCACTACCAGCCCAGAATCTGACACCTCAGTGGGATTAGAGTCAGGAACTTCTGCTGGTAAAGCACCTGCACGGCTGGCAGAGGAAGAAATGCCCCAGACAGCTGACACACAGAAGACTTCTGGAGACCACGTAGCTGCACAGCTCCAGACAAGAGAGGGACTTCACCAACATGCACTGGGAGAAACAGGGGCAGTGAGCTGGGGAGTTCTTTTTATTCACTCATTGGATGTGGACCTCACTTGCTGGGTCAGCATTTCTTGCCCACCCCTAGTTGCCTTTGAGAAGGTGGGGGTGAGCTGCCTTCTTGAACCGCTGCAGTCCTCCTGCTGTGGGCTGACCCACGGTGCCCTTACGGAGGGAATTCCAGGATTTTGACCCAGTGACACTGAAGGAACAGTGATATTTTTCCAGGTCAAGATGGTGAATGGCTTGGAGGGGAACTTGCAGGGGATGGTGTCCCCATGTACCTGCTGCCCTTGTCCTTCTAGATGGAAGTGGCCGTGAGTTTGGAAGGTGCTGTCTGAGGATCTTTGGTGAATTTCTGCAGTGCATCTTGTAGATAGTACACACTGCTGCTACTGAGCGTTGGTGGTGGAGGGAGTGGATGCTTGTGGATGTGATGCCAATCAAGCGGCTGCTCTGTCCTGGATGGTGTCAAGCTTGTTGAGTGTTGTTGGGGCAGCACTCATCCAGGCAAGTGGGGAGTATTCCATCACACTCTTGACTTGTGCCTTGTAGATGGTGGACAGGCTTTGGGGAGTCAGGAAGTGAGTTACTCGCCACAGTATTCCCAGCTTCTGGCCTGCTCTTGTAGCCCCTGTGTTAATGTGGTGAGTCCAGTTGAGTTTCTGATCAATGATAATCCCCAGGATGTTGATAGTGGGGGTTTCAGTGATAGTAACACCATTGAATGTAAAGGGGTGGTGGTTAGATTGTCTCTTATTGGATATGGTTATTGCCTGGCATTTGTGAGATGTGAATGTTACTGAGTGCATGAAGACAAGGCAAGGCAGAGAGTACAGCCATTCAGGCCAGTACTAAAAGTGCAAATGTTAAGAGAGCAAGTGAACAGCCCTGATATGCAGGCTAACCCGTGAGCTGGGGACTGTCCCTGTGCACTAAGTATCCCAGAGTAGCCTATCAATGGCAGTGGCCACTGTGCAAATTTGTTTCCTAAGTGCCCTGCAAGTGGATCAGAGAGGAGCCTTGAGGATCCTGAGCGGTTGGCAGATGGAAAATGCCAATGTGTGTGAACGATGAGTGTGTGTGGCAGGTGGCTATGGACCATGCCCTGAGATGCTGTTTGTTCCTGAGCAATGTGAACGTGCTTCACAGCAAGCAGTGAGCTGAAATCACCAGGGTACCTGCAGTGACACTGATGTCAAGAATTCTTGACATCAAGTTTGTTCAGTGCATTTGGTAAGAAAGGAAGCTGGATATTAACAAGGTGAGTTGGACAAGTGAAAGTTCTGCTGCCTTGTGAGAAAATCCTCTCACTGCTCAATAAAAAGGGTAAAAGATGGAGCGAGATGCACCTGACACTGAGATGAGGCAGGTTGGACCTTCTTGTCTGATTCTACCACAAATCCTTTTGTGGCAAATAGATTTTCTCAACTAGGGAGCAATCTTTATTTGAGATAGAACTCTTTTAAACTGGGAATATAATTTTTTAAAAGATTCTTAGACCTACCTTGGCTGTTACCTTAAAAGAAAAGTGAATTAAGTCACTGGAAACAATATCCTTTCACTCTAGGTCCACCTGGATCACCCGGTCTACATGGTCTCAATGGTTTGCCAGGACAGAAAGGATCTCGTGGACCTTCAGGTGAGGCTTAATCTGCTCAATGTATGACAGACACCAAGTACACCCCAGCACCATCTCTCCAGATAATTGTCCTGAAATTCTTTGTTTCTGGATACAGTTGCAAACCACATCCCTTTGACACAGATAGCAAGCACAACTATGTGCTAGCTCTGAGACATAAATAGAAGTCAGTAAAAACCGAAAGAACTGAGGATGCTGTAAATCAGGAACATAAACAAAGTTGCTGGAAAAGCTCAGCAGGTCCGGCAGCATCTGTGAATGAGAAAACAGAGTTAATGTTTCGGGTCCGGTGCAGAAAAAAGGGGAGGGGAATGGGGTAGGGAGTAAACGATGGGATAGAGCCTAAAGAGAGAGAAGAGCAGTTGGACAGACAAAGAGTTGATAATGATCAGGCTGGGAGGGTGAATAGTTGTTAATGGGGACTATTGATGACTAACAACGGGTAGCTTGTAATATATATTTCTGAAGAAGGGTCACGACCCAAAACGTCAGCTTTCCTGCTCCTCTGATGCTGCCTGGCCTGCTGTGCTCCTCCAGCTCCACACTGTGTTATCTCTGACTCCAACATTTGCAGTTCTAACTGTCTCTGAGGTAGTGTGTAATGGCATGCTTTAGAAATCAGTGTTGCTTCAAGACAAATACCCATCACACTGACATTAGTTTGTGAACACAGACACCAAATAAAGTTCCAAAAAAAGTCATATTGGACTTGAAACATTAACTCTGTTCCTCTCTCCATAGATGCAACTTGACCTTCTGAATTTCTTCTGCAATTTCTGTTGTTATTTTTGCTCTGTTTATTTTATTTCATACTAACGTCATTTAAACAAATTGTGTCAATTCTATGAGATCTGTCCAATTACTTGATACATTCTTCTTGCTGTTGCAGTCTGGTATTAGGACATTAATCACATGTAGGTTAGAAGATCAGCTTTGTCCTGTAGTATATCACATGATTTATTAGTATTTGTATAATTAAAAAGGACCAAGTGAAACAGGATCCCCTGGATCACCAGGACCATCTGGACCGAAAGGTGAAAAGGGCTCTCCAGGATCTCCAGGAAGCTCTAGTCAGTGCCCAGTGGGTAGACAAGGACCTCAGGGAATTCAAGGTAGGCAAATATGCACCTTAAAGGGGAGACATTGTGGGAGATCTGCCTTTTGAGTACTGCCCTGCCTGACCCCGGGACACAATGGAAAGGTGATATGTTCACTCGCATATCATCATGAGACTGTATAGATTATCTGTGGGCAGACAGAACAGTGAGACTCCCTATGATCTGCACCTTGACATTGTACCCATCAGAGGCACACTGTCGCATTCTCTGCTTTTGGTATTTGATGTAGTTTTGAAGTGGCACTACCTAAGCATTTCCCTAATGCGTTCCAGTACTGTAATAAACAGCAAATTTCCCTGGATGCATAGCCTCCATTACTTTTGGAAGTATCACTTGAGTAAAGAATTGTATCTGTGTGTGCACTTGCCACACTCCCTGAAAGTGTCAGCTTTGTATTTTTTCTCTATGCCCCATTAGTATCCTGCATTGATTGTAGAAACTTTGTAGTGCTTTTGAAATTATGTGCTAGATAAGGCAAAATTTCATCTACAGTAACATAAAAGGATTGTCAGGTCTCCTCTTCTGGCCTCCTGTTGGTCTGCAGACTAATGCTTGTGAATGGAGGTCATGTGCAATGCACTAGCAGTAGAGTTGCATAGACTGATAAAGGCCACATTACAGGACTTGCTGTGTTGAGGGGCCCAAATGAACATTTAAAACCATTTGCGTTGTAAGAAAAACTTTAAACTTCTTCTGTACTGGAGCTATTTTGGTTGCTGCTTGTATTGGGCAATGTGTCGATGCACATATCAATATATTGCAAAGATTGAGACTATAATTAGAATGTTTGTGTTTGATCAGAGATTTAGATATTTGATCAGTTCTAACATTGCCCATTGATTAATTCTAACACTGATCAGTGACTAGATCTTATACTGTTCATTGGATACGAGGAGATCCAATGTTACTTCATATTATTTAATTCAATCATTGGCTTCATATACATTGTCACACTTTCACGATTGTGTAGTAGAAGCAAAGAAACCTGTGATTGTGTATTAATTTGTGTCTCGATTTGCTTGTTTGCATTTCTCTCTGTCTAATTCCATCACATGAATACTTGATGCGTCCTGTTGTTTGGTCGTGGCCTTTATGAACTGCTTCCAGGCCATCCAGGTGAGCTCTTAAACATATTGATCAGTTGACGATTAATTGTGAATTAATTAGTAATGGAATTAATTTTGCCCATGCTGGTTATTTGTCCTAGAGTTGTATCATTGCAAAGTGCACTGGGTGATTTGCAGTCACTTACTGGGAATTCTAATGCTTCCTTTGTTCCTCTGATCTGCTGTCATAGATAATATCCAAAGCTTTAACAAGCAACTTGTGTAGAATTTCTCCCTAAATGACTGTGTGAAATGCGCACTTAGACAATATATCTATTAGCTTCATTCAGAATTTTTTCTTCACACCTCTTCCCCAAAATTGATGGAAAACCAACATTGTAGAATATTTTTCATGTTAAGGCTAAACTTATCTAAAGATAGATTGAATTGTAGAGAGAATTCTCTATTTACTGCACATAACGTGAGTTCAATTCCTGCTCTGGTTGAGGTTACCCTGAAAGACTCTCAGGTTAAACCACCACCAGTCATCTCTCTCTGATGAGAGACTGGCCCTGGAGCTTCTGGGATTTTGGCGACTTTACCCTTATATTGTTTTGTGCCCCATGGATTCATGCTAATATTAAGGCAGTAATTCACAATTATATCTGAGAAGAGTTACCTACCTCACATCTTATCAAGTATAATCATAATTTGCCCACTGACCTGACATTTTGGACCTTTGAAAAGGTGCAGGTTGGCTTTGAAAAATGTAGGCTAATGTTAAAGTGTGAGGCTGGAAAAGCACAGCAGGTCAGACAGCATCCGAGGAGCAGGAAAGTCAACATTTCAGGCCAAAACCCTTTGTCAGGACTGGC